TCCCACCAACAACCTTACTTTCTTGATCCTTTATGACTATCAGCATTTTTAGGCAAACACTGGAGTAGTTCCAGCACTGCTATATTTCTTTGTTTGCTCTCTCTCTCTCTCTCTCTCTCTCTCTCTCTCTCTCTCTCTCTCTCTCTGTATCTTTATTGTTTGAGACAAAGACTCACTCACTATGTAGCCCTGACTGACCTGAAACTGGCTATGTAGCCAAGGCTGGCCTTGAACTCACATTGTTCTACCTGCTTCTTCATCCTAGGTGCTGGGATTAAAGACATATGCCACTATGCCTGGCTTTACTGTTATATTTCTTAAATAGAGAGGAGGGGGAGAAAGAAAGATATTCTCAAAGAGAAAAGGGGCCAAGAGCCATATCTAAAGGTAAGGAAGCACGAAGCATACTCAGGCCTATCTCAGAGACTCAGAGAATTGTAACTGAGCTCAACAAAGGAAAATGTGTTTACTCATGCAGTCATCCTGTACTTAAATGAATGCAAAGAAAATGTCTTCCTCTCTTTTGAGGCTGAGTCTTGATGAACTTTGAAAGTCAGAAACCAGAACATTGCTATTCATGAACCAAAACAGAACAAAGGAAGGAAATCTCTTTGCATGGACCTTTGTGATCAGCCTAGATGTGGTTTAGGAAGAGGAAGGAAAACATGTGATGGCCAGATGATGAAAGATGAATGTGGAACATAATTAGACCACATCATGAATTTCCAGAAGGAAGAAGGTCCATGACTCATCTTTGTTCTCCAGGTCCTAGCTGTCTCTTAGAGATGGGCATAATTCTGAATAATAGACTAAGTGGATGGACAAATGGAAAGTGAGTATTTCAGTTCCCACATATCTCCAGTGGAATTACTGGATGTGGTAGTTTGAGTGTAATTGGCCCCCCTAAGATCATAGGGAGTGGCACTATTAGGAGGTGTGGCATTGTTGGAGTAGGTCTGGCCTTGTTGGAGGAAGTGTGTCATTGTAGGGGTAAACTTTGAGGTCTCCTTTGTTCAAGATACCAACCAATAACTCAGTCCACTTCTTGTTGCATTCTGATCAAGATGTAGCCAGCACCATATATGCCTGCATCCCACCCTGATCCCCACCATTAAGCTGTGAAATTGAAGCCTGGATTGCCTTGGAGAATTGAAGGTGTTAAAGATGCCAGACTCATGGAATATCTGCCAAGGAGAGCTGCTAACAGTGAGTGGAAACAGCCCAAGAGAAAGAAGTGTGTTGCAGTCAACAGACCTGAATGCAGTAGATCTGAAGAGCATTTTGACATCAGACATGGAGATGCAGAGTTTGGAGTTTGCCCAGCTGGTTTTCAGTTTTGCTTTGGTTTAGTATTTTCTCACCATGCTCCCTTCCTTATGCTTTGGGACAGTAATGTATATCCTGTGATATTATATATTGGAATTATGTGATCTATTTTTTTATTTTTATTTTTATAGGGGGTTGCAGTTAAGAGATTTCATGAATCTTAGAAAAGACTATGAACTTTGGACTTTTAAACATTGTTGAGACTATGATAGACTCTGGGGACTTTTGAAGTTGGACTAAATGCATTTTGCATTATGATATTGGTATAAGCTTATGGGGGGCAGGGAATGGAATGTGGTAGTTTGAATGTAATTGGCCCCCATGAGCTCATAGTGGCACTATTAGGAGGTATGGCTTTGTTGGAGTAGGTATGGTCTTTTTGGAGGAAGTGTGTCATTGTGGGGGCAGGCTTTTTGGTTTTCTATGCTCAAGATACTAACCAGTGTCCCAGTCTACTTCCTGTTGCCTTCTGATCAAGCTGTAACCAGCACCACGTCTACCTGCATGGTGCCATGTTCCCCACCTTGATGATAACGGACTGAACTTCTGAACTGTAAGCCTCTGCCCCCCAATTAAATGCTTTTCTTTATAAGAGTTGCTGTGGTTATGATATCTATTCGCAGCAAAAGAAACCCTAACTGGGTTATCCCTTTTTCCACAGCAATAACAGAATTTACAGTCTGGGTAAATGATGACAATAGAAGTGTGTTTGGCACCTAGTTAAAGAGGCTGGGAAGTTGAAGACTGAAGGGCAGCAACCTGCAGAGGCCTTCTTGCTGCATCCTAATGCAGTGAAAGACTTGAGAGAGAACAAACTTTTAAACAAACTCTCCCCAAATAGTGTTCTTAATCCATTCATGAGGTCATAAGGACAGTGCTCTCATGACTCAGTATTCTCGGACTGAGATGATAGCTCAGCAGTTAAAAAAATACTTGCTGTACAAAGTGTGAGGAGCTTAGGTTGGATCTCCAGAATCCACATGCTCTAATTTCCTTTCTGTTGCTGTGATAAAAACACCATGACCAAAAGCAATTTGGAGAGGGAAGGGTTTATTTTATCATACACCTTATAGTAGTCTATCATCCAGGGAAAGTCAGGGCAAGAGCTCAAGGCAGGAACTGAAGCAGAGACACGGAGAAACACTGCTTACTGGGCCTCTTCAGTGTTTATTTTTTTAATAGAACCCAGGAGCTCCTGCTCATTGGTGGCACCATTCACAGTGGTGCCATATCCCCATGGATATGCCTACCTACAGTCTAATACAGGGAAGGGAATTCCTCAATTGAGATTCTCTTTTCTTAGGTAACTCTGTTTTGTATTAAGTTGACAAAAACTAACCAGCATGACATGTAAATGTCGGGTATACAATGTTGACCTGTACTCAGCCTTGGAAGTCAGGGATGAAATAGTGACTCCACAGAGTGTGCTGGCTAGTTATACTAGTCAGATTGACAAGCTCTGCGTTTAAATGAGAGACCTTGTCTCAAAGAAGAAAGCAGAAGATAAATCAAGGATGCTTCCCAACATAACCTTGGGCCTCTACATGCATACACATATATGTGTGGCCACACACATGCAAACATGCACACATGAAAGTGGAAAAAGGAATAGTCACACCTCTTAACACTGTGCCATTGGGGGTTTAAACTTCCAATGGAAGAATTCACATATTCAAAATTTCACAGATGTATAAATATTACATGACCTTTAATGCTCACTATGGCCCCTGTGTATTTATTGCATACTAATAGAATAGTATAGAATCAAGATCCCTAAGGAATCCTTTGTTTTCACAAAAACCTATCTTAAAAGAATCACTTTAAAAGATTGAAGATGGAGCTTCGTTGCTAGAGTGCTTGTCTACCCTGATGTTGATCCTTAGCACCACATAAATCAGGCATGATAGTGTCCCAGCACTTGGAAGGTGGAGACAGGGGGATCAGAAGTTCAAGGCAATTCTTGCCTACATAGATAGTTCAAGACCATCCTGTGCTACATGACATCCTGTCCTAGAAAAAAAAAGAGATTCATTTGGTCATCCTGATCCTACTGCTAATTTAAACATTTATGGAAAAAATCTAAAAGGTACTATTTAAAGTATAAGTAAGGTTAACAAAATAACCCAGAGTCTTAATCAAACTGATAAAGTAAATGCTGGCAGCACTATCTGGAAGTATGAGCTATAATTACAGTCATTCAGTGCTGTGTGGCTTGTTATTACCTTTCGCACCTATGACTGAATTGCTGAATGATTTGTGGTTGGGCCACTCTGAAAATGGAGCAGTTGTCACCCATATCTATCCAGCTGTCTACTTTAGTCCCTCTAAGTGGATCTCACTTCTCTTGGGTGGTGTTGGTGGACAGGAACTTGTCTATCAAATCTCAGACAAGGAACCCTTTGCTGTTAATTCTTATGTGGCCACTAGCTTACTGTGATCCTAAGTTTCTTGTGATGAAAATAAGCCTTAAGAATCAGAACTCTGATTCAGTTTGATTTTCAAAAAATAATTTCTGCCCTAATCATCTTACAAATTTTAATTTATTTATTCGTGTGTATGTGTTTGTGTGTGTGTGTGTGTGTGTGTGTGTGTGTGTGTGTGTGTGTATGCGCGCGCGCGCGTGCGTGCGCATGCATGCACGTACGTATGTACGTGCTTGCACACATGCATGCATGCACGCACGCACGCACGCACTTACTACAGTACAGGTGTTGAGGCCAGAGGGCAAGTTTTGAGTATTGCTTCTTGTCTTCTACATCATGGAGGTGGGGTCTTCTTAGTTATTGCTTCTGCTGCTTTGTTGCACAATCCAGGCTAGCTGGCCCATGATCTTTAGGCTGATACCCATATCTTTGATTTTGCCATAAAAGTGCTGGGATTACAGATGTGGGATACTACACCCAGCTATTTACATCGGTTTTAGGGTTGGAAGTTGGTTTGTAAGGCTTACATGGTATACTGGCTGGTTTTGGGTATCAACTTAACACAAGGTAGAGTCATCAGAGAAGAAGGGGCTTCAGTTGAAGATGCACCTCCATGAGATCCAGCTGTAAGGCATCTTTTCAATAAGTGATTGATGGGGGAGGGCCCAGCCCATGGTGGATGAGCCATCCCTGGGCTGGTGGTTCTGAGTTCTATAAGAAAGCAGGCTGAGCAATTCAGGGGAAGCAAGCCAGTAGGTAGCACCCCTCTATGGCTTTTGCATCAGCTCCTGCCTCCAGGATCCTGCCCTGCTTGAGTTCCTGTCCTGACTTCCTTCAGTGATGACAGTAATGTGGAAGTATAAGCCAAATGAACCCTGTCCTCCCCAACTTGATTTTTGGAAATGGTGTTTAATTGCAGCACAAGAAACCCTAACTAAGACACATAATGGTTTGAATAGGTATGGCCCCCATAGACTCATGTGTTGAAATGCTTTGCCCATAGGGAGTGGCACTATTAGGAGGTATGGCCTTGATAGAGTAGGTGTGACCTTGTTGGAGGAAGTGTGTCAAGATATAGAACTCTTGGCTCCTTCTCTAGCACCATGTCTGCCTGCACACTGCCATGCTTCTCACCATGATGATGGTGGACTAAACCTCTGAAACTGTATGCCAGCCCCAATTAAAATTTTCTTTTATAAGAGTTGTCATGATCATGGTAGCTTCACAGCAACAGAAACCTGACTAAGAGACATGGCAAGCATATTTACCTGCTGAGCCATCTCCCTAGTCCCTCACCAGAATTGTCTCATCAAATTTTCTATGCAGTTGTTTACTTATTTTGGTATCAAGATAGTGTAGATGCTGAGACAAGAAAGGGATATCTAGAATAAGAATGTTATCCCGAGGTGTGCATACTTTCCTTTCCCTCCTAAGTCATGGCAAACTCTTAAAAGCCTAGGTCAAATAGAGTGTCATAATTGTCAACACAAAGCTCTAGAGAATCAAACTGTGGATTTATCCATGTTGGCAAATAAGTTGAAACATATATTCAGTCCTTTTGGCCTATAACATGAGGAAGAATGTCAAAGAGATACCTGATCAGGCTGCGCCACAGTGGAGAAGGGTCAACAGGGGCAAAAGGATGAGGCTGTAACATAATGACCAGTTGGACAATCCTTTCTTCCATATGCATACAACCTAACTGCAGTGCTTTTCAATTTCCTGGGTGTGGAAATGATCGGTGGTCTTGTTGAAATGCAGCTCTGATTTATCATATCTTGGGAAGGACTCAGGACGCTATATTTCTAACAAAAACGTGGGTGTTGTGGTGGTTTGAAAGAGAAGGTCTCCATAGTCTCAGGCATTTGAATACATATTACCCAGTTGGTGGTCCTGTTTGGCAGGTTTAGGAGAGATGGCCTTCCTAAAGGAAGCATGTCAGTGGGGGCCTGCATTGAGAGTTTAAGGTTTTGCCCTCCTTGTAGTTTGCTCTCTCTGCTTTGAGATGTGAGCAAGCTCTCAATTTTCTGCTGTAGCCACCACGCCGGCTGTCATATCCCTCTGGACGAGCCCAAATAAGTTGCCTCGGTCATGGTGTTTTATCACAGTGACAGAAAAGTAACTAAAACAGGTGTTACTGATATTGCTACAAAGGCCCACATTTTGAGCAATGAGATGGCCTTAGTTAATGAGAAACTCATGCCTTGGGCTCCGGACTCTTTGTTCTCCTGATGTTGTGGAGGAGTGAGACCAAAGTAGAAATTAGAACATCCAAATTTAAATTTGAGTGTGCCACTTATTTTATGGCCCCAGCCTTTGAGACCCATTTCTCTTATCTGTAAATCAAAGAAAAAAATCCCTCATACCTCATGCAGTGCTCATAAAGATCAAATAGATACCATGTACAGGCTATTGGTAAGGGTTCAATAAGTGGTAGTTAACTCTGAACTAGCCAAAGCCAACAGTATCTGGAGAAGACACAAGCTATGGCTACAAATCTCCATGGTTTCCAGAAGAACAGTTTTATCAGCCTGCCAGATGGGGATCGACAGAATGCCAAACATGTAAATATTTGGAATGCATTAAAAACACGCTCAACAAGTATCTCTTCCATTCAGATTGGTCTTTTGGCTTAAGGAAGTATAAGGGCAAGGGGGGTTTCTGCAGAAAGATGCTATCTAACTTCACTGGCTCTTTTGTATACTTTGGAGCAGCTAACAGACATGTTGGAGAATGGTAATGCATGCAACATGGATAATCTCAATTTTCAGAAAGCCTTTGATACTGTTCCATATAATAGGCTGCCTAAACCAAAGACAGCAGGGATTCTTGATGAAACCCTGGGAAAAAAGAGATTGGCTAGAGAACAAAACAAAAAGTTGAGAATGAAACAGAATGGAAAATAGATAGAAGATGGGGTTACTTTCCAAGAACAAGGGAGAAAATATGGATGCTGCAATTATGATCGTGACATAGGCTGGTACACTGGATGGAAAACAGAAGACATGGAAAAATGCTGGACAGTAATATGACATTTCTATGACAACACCTTAATGTTATAAGAACTAGGTATTGACATGACTAGAAGAATGTTTAAAATGCTTAAAATGACATGAAATCAGTTATGACTTATGAATAAAAGTATCCAGCTCAAGACTTAGAAAAAAGCTTTATATTATAATTAATTATAGCCACTGTAACCCCATGGTACTAAGAAATATATATTATTATAAATCAGTAGACCTTAATGGGGAGGTATGTTTTACCTGGAAAATTTAGTAATGCCTGGAGAAATTTTTGTCATATTTTGGGAGGAGGGTAGTCCTGGCATCTCCTGAGTGGAGATGAAAGGTACTAAGAAACATCTTAAATGCAGGGTAAAGGACAGGAACCTCCTTTTCAACTATGTGTAGTTGCCTTAATAAATCCCCCAATATAGACCAGTCTGGAGGTTGCTGCACAGAATCCATAAAAAACAAAAAAAATAACAAAAAAAACCCCCGTGAGTTCCAATCTGGCTCCCAGATGTTTGCCTCTGCTCATCCTGGCTAGTCTTTTAGAAGCCATTTTCTTTTAGAGAAAAAAAAGTGGCTTTAATTAAAGATTGAGGAGGGTAATTGGGAAAAAATAATGGAAAAAAATTAAAATCTCTTATTGCTTATTTTCTATTACTTTCTGGCGTATAACTCAGAGAAGAAAGCATTTCTTATAATTAGATTTCCCTAGAGGTGCACTAAAATCAAATCAGTCCAGCCTTCAGTGACTGATTTCTAGGAATAGGTCAATGGGGCCTGGAAGGAGTGTATGAGGTAGTAGGTTCATAGGTTATATAGGGGAACTCAGTCTTCACTGTCAACCCTATGGCCTATCATTTCCCACTTACTGATTCTTCCCCATGAAGTTTTGTCTCCTGTTGTGAAATGAATATTTTATACCAGAATCTTCCTTAAGCAGCTTACTCTGCTAACTGATTAATTAACCTTAGATGGAATAGAACAGAACGGGGCCTTGGAGCCCAAGAGAAGCCAGAGAAAGGAATTCTGAGACTAGACAACAAAGGAAGCGTCTTTGGTTTACACTTTCCTTAAAAGTCAGAGTTACTTGTAAAAATGCAGCCCTACATCATTCAACACTTTACTCTCTACTTGTGTTGCTTCAATGATTTATTTAGTCTTAATTTTTCTACATATATTTATTTGTGCACATATAAATGTGGGTTCATGAATCATGGCGTGTGTGGAGGTCAGAGTGTAAATTTCAGGAGTCAGCTCTTATTATGTGGGTTCTGTGGATCACCATCAGATTGTCAGTCTTGAGGCAAGAGCCTTTATTTGCTGAGTCATCCTGCTAGCACCTTTTTGAGGCTTAAAAAAAAAAACATTATTCCATATAGCCAAGGTTAGCTTCAAACTCATTGTGTAGCAAAGGATGACACTGAATTGTGTGGGGGGCCAAACCTAGGGCTTCATGCATCCTATGGGGGCACTCTATCACTGAGTTATATCCCTAACTTCAGTTTAACTTTAAAAAGAGAAGACTATGTTTTTAAATTAACATGTGTAGTAGTTTGAATGAAATGACCCGTACAGATTCATGTATTTGCACACATGGTCCCTAGTTAGTGGTGGTGTTTGGCAAGGATATGGAACCTTTCAGAGGTGATACTTTCCTGGAAGAAGTACTTACCTGGTAGGGGAGGGGCACTTTGATGTTTTTTATCCTTGCCTTACTTACTGTTCTTTCTTTCTGCTTCCTATATGGGAATGGAATGTGATCAGTTTGCATCCTGCTCCTGACACCATATCATCCCTGCCTGTTGCCACGCCTTCCCTGCCTTGATGAACTCCATCCCTCTAGAAGTGTAAGCCATGCTAAACCCTTCCAAAACTTGCTTTTTTGTCAGGGTATTCTATCAGAGCAATAGAAAATAATTAATACACATGTCCATTACAGGAAATGAAACCCACAAAGTGCAAAGAATACAGTCATCCACAGCCAAAATTTATTCAGTCCGTCATATACTTCTGGTTCCTGTGTGTGAACACACAGCACTCACTACGTTTTTTAGGTAATTGAAATAATATGGTATGTGTTATACTTTCCTACACATTCTGAATATTCACCATTCAAAGCATTCAAGTTATGCTTTGATAGCAAAAATATAGTACACCAGTATGAGTTCAACTTTTGTAGATCTTATAATTGAGGTCATATGCTTTTTGATTTTCTGTGCTTGACTCATTTCATTTAGCATTCTTTCTTCCAAAGTTAGTTATGCTGTTGCTTATGACAGGAATTTTCTTCTTTATTTCTAAGACTGAATAGTATGTGTGTATGTGTATATGTATGTATTGTATTTATCCACTCATCCATTAATGCCACTTTGATTGAATATCTTAGCTACTGTGACCAATGCTTTAGTGACATGCGAGTGCAGTTGGTTCTTTACCATGCTGACTTCAAGACCTTTAGATGTATATCCCATAGTGGGATTTGATGGGTCATATACAAAATTCTGTTTGGAGTTTCTATACAGTTCCACATAATTGTTCTACTGATTAACACTTCTTCCAACAGAGTACAAAAGTCTCCTTTTATCTATTTCATCATCAACACTTACCTTTCATCTTTGATAATAGCCATCCAAACAGGTGTGAAGTGATACATCACTATAGTTTTAATTTGTCATAGGCTTATAAACACTGGGAGTTCTGTTCACATACCTGCTGGACAGTTACTTGTCATCTTTTGAGCAATGTCTTGCCAGGTATGGTGATACACCTCTTTAATCCCAGCATCCAGAGAGGGCAGAGGCAGGCAGATCTCTGTGAGTTCTAGGGCAGCCTGGTCTACATAGCAAGTTCCAGGACAATCAAGGTTACATAGAGAAACCTATCTCAACCTCATTCTCACCCACCCCAAAAAGAAAAGAATATCTGTTCAAATCCTTTACCCATGTACTAATTGTGCTGTTTCCTTGATATTGAATTGAGTTCCATAGTTCCATATGCATTTTGAATATGAGCTTTCTATCAGATGAATTGTTTCTAAATATTTTGTTCTATAGATTGTATTTTCATGTTGTAGATTTTTTTCCTTAGCTGTGCAGAAGAACCTTAGTTTGCTATAAAATTTATTTTTTGATTTGCTTTTTTTTTTTGAGATGCTGATGTGTGGCATGTTCCTCAGAATTGCAACATGCTCTCCAGGCTGAAACATTTGCTGCAGGAAGGAGTGGGAAGGCTCAAGAGCCTCAGGTGATAAACAGGAGGCAAACAAAAGGTCACATATCCGGGAAGAACAGCAGCTTGGAAGTTCTTGAAGGCCCCTGTCTACAATGGAAACTGAAGTAAACAGTTTCTAGGCGTGGAGACAATGACCAGACAACTGGAAGAAAATGTCCGGGCTGTGGAGCTGCCTGCAAATTACTGTATAAAGAGCCACAGAGTTGCTATTTTGGGGAGTCCTCACCCATGTTGGGGTGGGCTTTCTGGTGGTGCAGCTGCCTTTGAGTTATCCCTGCTTCTTGTAAGCAACCCCTCACCCATACTCCTGCTACTAACCTCAATAAAACAATCCATTGGTTCACCAACTCAGACATTGGTGCAATTATTACTTAGGTCTGTTGTGGTTTGTGCTTTGAGTAGATGTGTGTGTGTGTGTGTGTGTATGTGTATGTGTGTATGTGTATGTGTGTGTTGCATCTTCTCGGCAAAAGTCTTATCACACAACAGAAGCACATGTTTTCATGAATATGCATACATACCCTCTGACATACCTTAATATCTGAATTTGATTAATTCAATTTCTTTATTCCTATTTTATTTCCAACTTGTTATGGTGTTACTTTAAAGGCCCATGTTCAATATGCTAAGTCCCCTTATTCTTTACCTGATGATCCTAGTTCATCATTGAAAAATTCATGCTTTAGTTTGCAAGTTGGAAGGAACAAGAACACAATGATGAATCAGTGCCACCATTTAACCTTTACAGATGCCTTTGGTGACAGGGATTGATCAAGTGTCTCTAGAAAAAGAGGAGGATGGCCTCTTATAATATGTAACAAACCATAAATGGCCTCCTAAGAAAACATTCAGTAGGCCACACATTGAGACTGAGAGGATCCTCATAGTAGTGCATTACCCTGATAGTCTACAGCACGCTGTTCTCTCCTTCCTGCAAGGTTGCCTGACTGACTAGATCTTTGATTATGATGAGCTGGAATATTCTGAGTCCTGAGATGAATTATCTTGAGTTAGTTGTCCTATCAAACAGTTGCCAGAGACTTATAGCTGTGAATGGAAAGTAATACCTTCTGCAAGATGTGGAAAGCAATTCCTTAGCTGATACATTAATGAGCGTCAGCAAGTCTCTGTCCAGACAGCCTTCAGGCCACACTAGGGTGTGATGTTCTCAGCTGCCTTTGAATCACTCATCCAGCTGCCACTGCCACAAGCACTGGAGAAAAAGTGGCCATGAGAAATCAAGTACAAAACAGTGTGTGAATGCCTTGTGACTTGCCAATACAAAGAGTTTGCCAAGTGTGTTAATTACTTTTCTATTGCTATGATAAAATGTCATTTCCAAAAGCAACTTAGGAAAGAAAGGGGCTAATTTGGCCTTACAGTTCCCAAGGGATAGAATCCAACATGGCAGAGAAGGCCCAACAGCAGGAGTGTGAAGCTAGCATAACACCCAGGAGGCAGAAACATCAGATTTCTTCTGCTCACAAGAAGTAGATGGGTGCAGGGAGGTGAACAAGGGTGGATGGGGTTATGAATTTTCAAGGCTTATCCCCACTGACATACTTTTTCAGCAAGGTTCTACCTCCTAAAGTTTCCATAACTTTCCCAAACAGTGCCCCTATTTGGAGGTCATGTGTTCAAATACACGAGCTTATATGGGACATTTCTCCTTCAAACGACCCCAGCAGAAAACAAAGAGAGAATTCATTGACATAGACTTCAAGAGAGCAAGAGAAAAAACAAGTTTCCAGAGAGGGGACTTTGAACTGAAGTCCTGGCTTTATAAAAGGTCCTCACCTGTGTTAAAGATTCTACAAGCCTGCCTGATTAGAGAGAGCTGGAATATTCCATGTCCTGAGCAAAATTATCTCATGTTATCTTTATCCCCCACAACAGCCATTCATTGTCCATCTCTGTGTTTGACCTAACAGCCTTGTGACTATCAGATAAATCCCTTTTACTTGTACTAACAAACCACTAGCTTCTACCAACCCAAAGGCTGAAAATGCCACCAGATAGCATCTGAAGCCTGGAGCAAGATTTCCCCACTCTTCTGTAACCCAGGTACTTGATGTTCCCACCAATGAATTTTTGAAAGCACTTGGCTTATGACTTTCTTACTATAAAACATGGGAAATTGTTACCATATTGGAACATACTACTTGGGATTGCATAAATCCATGTTCCTATGGTATAGTCACTTATATTTGGCTCCAGAATATATTGACTTATTCCCTAAAGAAAAGTATCAAGCATGGTAACATGCATTTCTAATCTCAGTGTTGAAAATGAAGAGATACAGGATCCCTAGGGCTCCCTGGATAGCCAGCCTAGCCTAATCATGTGCTCTAGGCTGATGAAAGATTCTGTTTCAAAACAGGTAGATGGCATTCCTGAAGACTGCATGTGAGTTGTCCCCTGGCCTCCACACCCATACTTGCACATACATACATGCACACACATACATGAACACACACACACATACACATGTTCACAAGTAACAACACTTAAGTGCACTATCTTCAGAGAAGAGGACAGTAGTAGAGTGTTTATTGCTCTAGAGGTAGTGGGATCTAGCAGAATGCAGTCAATGAATGAGGCAGACTAAAATCACATGCAATAGCCAACTTTTTTTTTCAGAGCATCAGACAATTTATACTCTGAGGATTAAGAGGGGTCACATGAATAAAGTGTGAATTCACAAGGATAAGACACAAGTGTTGGGCAAGCTACGTGTGGCAAAACCATGTTTTTCCATAGAGGCATATAAACAAGTAACAATAGCCAGTTGTAATGAATAATCCAAAGTAAACTCACTCCTATCTGCTACACCTGGGAGAGGCACAAACGCACATTCCAAGAACAATTCCTGTCTTTGAAGAAGCAGAGGTCACAAGGCTCTTGTCTTGGTTTCTTAGAGTTTTCTCACGACTCCACTCTTGGACTGTTTTCCAACAGTAGAGGAAAAGCTAAGTGCAGATAAAGACAAGTGGAAGGTACTGCTTTATCTCTCTTGGCCTCTGCTGATTGACGTGCAAGAACAGAGATTGTCTTAGGATTTCTATTTCTGTGAAGAGACACCACGACCATTAGAAAGAATGGAACAAACTTACTTTATTCACAGATACATGACTGTGTTGGCAGTTTTGTTTGATTAGTTGTGATTCGTTTCTGGTCTTTTTTATTTTCTTTTGGTTTTTTGTTTGTTTTTCAAGACAGGGTTTCTCTGTGTAGTTTTGCTACCTGTCCTGGATCTCAATCTATAGACTAGGCTGGCCTCAAACTCACAGAGATCTGCCTGGCTCTGCCTCCTGAGTGCTGGGATTAAAGGTGTGCACCACAACTGCCCAAATTTCTGGTCTTTTAAAAAATGTTTTATTGGCCGGGCGTTGGTGGCGCACGCCTTTAATCCCAGCACTCGGGAGGCAGAGCCAGGCGGATCTCTGTGAGTTCGAGGCCAGCCTGGGCTACCAAGTGAGCTCCAGGAAAGGCACAAAGCTACACAGAGAAACCCTGTCTCAAAAAACCAAAAAAAAAAAATGTTTTATTGATTCTTTGTGGATTTCACATCATGCATATTGATTCCACTCATCTTCCCATCCCTTCTCATCCACCCTCTGCCCTTGCAACCTCCCCCCTTCCCCGCAAGATAAAACAAAATAAAATTTAAAAGGAAGGAAAAGAAAAATCTTGTCAAGGAAGCTGTAGTGCGATGTAGTGAGTCACACAGTATACCCTTTGGTCCATACATCTTTATTTACGAGTGTTCATTGCAATGAGTCATTGGTCTGGTTCGAGATCTCCGGTTTCTGTTACATTATCAACACTGGGCACTCACTGGGACTCTTCTTATATATACTGCTGTTGTCCTGTGTCATGGAGATCTTGCAACTTTGAGATTGCAGGACTGGCCTCTTCACATACTCCACCAGTTCTTAGAAGGGGTAGATGTTGGGATGGGCCAACTCATAGCCCTGTTTCTGGGCCTGGACGGTTGCTGGGTTGGTCAGCCCACCAGCTCTCTGTCATCCTCAACACCAGCATCAGCTCTCCAGGACCACCCAGGCTAGCTCACACTATGCAGTAAGCAGCAAGAGATGGGGCCAGTTCTTTTGCCTCATTCCCTCCCTCGGGGCTGGTTTGCCTACACCTATACCACCACGAGGGAGGGCCAACTACTCTGTTTTCCAGGTGAAGTGCAGGGGCTGCTCTCCTGAGTGCTGGTCAGAGTCAGAGCCAACATTCTTGTTTTCCTGACCTCAGGGCCAGCTCTCCCACCTGCCATAGGCGTGAGGGGTGGAGGATGGGGTGTGGAGAGCATCTTTCCCTAGCTCAGGCCACCATATGGCAGATGAAGGGTGGGGCCAGATCTCTCATGCTCATCTCTCATCTTACTTCTTTGGGCCAGTTCACCTGCATCCCCATTGACAGAGTCAGCTCTACTGTGCTGCCCAGGTGAGGCGCAGGGCTGGCTCTCCAGAGTGCTGCAGCTGGTAAGGGGCAGGGGGGGGGCAGCTCTTTCGTCTGCTGCAGGTGGCTAGTGGGGAGTGGGAGGGCATCTTTCCCTCACCCTAGCCACCACATGACAGATGACGTGTTCTGGGCCAGTTCTCCCACTCTCATGATCTCAGGGCATTCTCACCTGCACCCCAACCCCAGCAGGGTCAGCACTACTGTGCCGCCCAGGTGAGATGTAGGGCCTGCTCTTCCGAGTGCTGCAGTTGGTGAAGAGCAGGGCCAACTCTTCAACTCTCATGACCCAGGTGCCTGCTCTTCTGCCTGCCACAGGTGGTGAGGGGTGAAGGGAAGGATGGGGGACATCTCTCTCTTGCCCACACCACTGCCTGAGTGGTGGCGCCAGCCTTCATACCTTCAGGGACACTCACCTGTGCATCCGCCAGCAGGGTCATCATTACTATGTTGTTCAGGTGAGGTACTGGGCCTGCTTTCCTGAGTGTTGCAGCTGGTTATGTGCTGGGCCAGCTCACCAGTTCTCATGATCTCGGGGCCAGCTCTCCTACCAGCCACAGGTGGTGAGGGGCAAGGGGTGGTGGTGGACATCTCCTTGCTCACACCACCTTATAGCAGATGAGGGGTGGGGCTGGATCTTCCGTGCTCATATTCCCGGAAGGCTCACCTGTGTCTCTGTCAACAGGGTCAGCTCCACTGTGCTGTCCAGGCAAGGTTCAAGGCCTGTTCTCCCTAGTACTGCAGTTGGTGACAGGCTGTCAGTTCTCCAGTCTACCACAGGCGGCAAGGGGTGAGGGGCACAGCAACTCTTATAAGGAAAACATTTAATTGAGTGGCTTACAGTTCAGAGGTTCATTCCATTATCATCAT